CAATGGGGGTGTCCCAGTGCAGAATGAAGGTCACTGCCACTAAAAGGAGGGTTGCAGAAAAGAAAAGAACCAAGGAAGTCAGAATGACTCCCAAGGGTTCACCAAAGGTTAAATAGTTGAAACTTTTGGGAAGACACTGGTCTTTTTCTGCATTGGAATAATGATCTTCTGGGCATCTCTCACACTGGTCTGCATCTGAAGTAAAGGAACAAGGCCTTGTCATTGCAAAAGCTAATTTAGAGACATCAGTCCTGGTGACACCATTCACATATCCCATTGTGCCTCCAGAATAAAACTTTTTTAATCTTTGGCAAAAATTTTTATATTATGCAAAAGTCTTCAGTTGAATGTCCATAATATTAGCAGACTATTTTCCATTTTCTTTTTCCTGAAAGGAACTAGATTCTCTCAATATAGTGAAGAAGATCTTTATATTCAGACTGCATTTATTTAGATTTGTTTTGTTTTGTTTTTAAAAACCTACTGCAGCTTAACCCCAGTCTCATTCTGAAGTGGATTTGAATAATGCTATTCTGCTAGGTAGTATACCAAACTAATAAAGAATGAAGAAAGATAAGATTTCAGACCCTGGAAGTTCCTACTGTAGAATTCAATTTTTCACTTGCCAATTTGGACTGAAATTCTTCCATCAGGGCATTTGATGCATTTGTAGCAACAAGGTGGTCTCCCCTCCTGAACCACTTTGCTGTACCCTTGGTGGCAACTCTCAACACATCTGGCATGAGGAGGTACCTAGAAATAAGAATCAGAATGGTTGGCAAACCTCATGAAATGCTCCACTTTATTTGCATACAGGCATATTAAAAGAGGAGTGATTGTACTAAATTCAAGATATGTGCAAAATGTTCGGAGATCATGTGTCCCAAGAACATAATTGTTTGAGAGTGTTCCAACTTTGCAGCAACCATCCTGTATTTTGGGATGTCTGCTGAGTTATCCTCAAACTATGTCTATCATAATTTCTTGTCATGTAGTCATAAGAGTACAGAGTAAATGATGTGGTAGGCTCTGGTGAGTGGTCTCTTCTACCCAATCTACAGAAAAATAAAACCAATATAAAGTTTCAAACCTACAAGAAAACAATAGATCCTACATTTCCTTTTAACCTGCTCTCTAGGGCAGAAATGGAGGGAGATACTCTTTCACTTAATTTCATAAAGACAAATCCAAATATCCAAATATCCAACAAAAACATTACATTTTAGGCCATCATCTTGTGAATTTTCAGGTCATCAAAGATGAATATCTTTTCCCCAGAAAATTATAGCCTAACTAATTAAGGTACCCCAAATGTCCTACCTGATGAAATTTGTGATTCCATACAATGGCACTTCCACTGATGGTGAACTTTTTCCCATTGGCGGCTTTGGAGTAAATGCTTCCAATCCGGACTCTCCGGAAGGACTGATTGGGGAAAGTGACCATGTTGAAGATGTCATATCCAGGGTCAAAGTTCCCCTTCTCATCAAAAAAGATTTCATCTCCGGCACTGTTATTAAAAGAGGTATTTCTCAGAAAGTAATGAAGCTGGATTCAGGAGAAGGGAAAAGTAAAGTTTTGTAAAAGTTAAATTACATTAGCAGGAGATGGGAAAATATTCCTGTTCCTGGAGAAAAAGTAGCAAGGAATACTATGTTCGAAAAATACCCTGTGCTATATCATTTCATTTTCCTTCCCTCAACCCCTTAGCTGTTCCATCATTGCCTGACAGATGCGGTCTCTGTGATCTCATCATCCATTCAATGTCCTGAAAGTTGGTCAACCAATTATGGTCTCATTGCACAAATTATCCACCATTAAAGACAGACTTCCTCATCTCTCTTTGCCTAAATGTTTCTTCCAGGTATCAGATCAGTGTTTCAAGGAAGATAGAGAAACAAAGGCCACCTCGCTCCATGTAAACAAAACAATTTTTCAAATTATCCTAATATCCCCCAGAATGATGGCTTTGTTCATGGCTGAGTTTTTGTAGTTATAACAGAAGTCTGTTCTGCTTTGGTTCAGGCTTCTCTCGAACCCAGATAGCATAGAGCAATTCCAATTTCGATAAAATCAAAGCCAACATTTTACTTACCCTTCCCTGGAATTTTTAAGCAAAAAGTTAACAATCTCACTAGGAGATACAGTTCTGATATAATCAGTGGAAAACTAAATAAGACATACTCCAACTTTTGCAAAAAACAAACAAACAAAGAATTATCAAGAAAAGGTGGAAGGGGGCAATCACTCCATTACATACAAGGGGGAAAGAAAAAAGAATAACAGGGGGCTTTGAGAATTGCTCTTTATATATTTCTTGCTTCTGAATCACAAAATTGCAGAACTTCATTTGCATCTAGGTTCCTAATTTCCTATATAGTAATTTTCTGTTGACTATACTATAATGGAGATATCATGGTGATTTTAGAGAAGCATTCTCTTATAACCTTAAGCCAAGCTGCTTTGCAAATTCCTCATCTAATCAAACACTGGTGGCATTTCCTGGTGGTCTCTCATCTCCATTTGCATATTAATGCATAAGAATTGGGTTTATTCTTATCCCCACCACACTGGTGGCATTTCCTGGTGGTCTCTCATCTCCATTTGCATATTAATGCATAAGAATTGGGTTTATTCTTATCCCCACCACACTGGTGGCATTTCCTGGTGGTCTCTCATCTCCATTTGCATATTAATGCATAAGAATTGGGTTTATTCTTATCCCCACCCCATCTCCTTCAGGCCTTACAGAGATATATCTCAGAGGAGCGATAACATACCTGCCATGGCTGAACATCCCCAAGATTTGCTCCATGCCAGTTCCTCCGAGAAGCTGGATTTGCTGCGGTTGACTGCATTGTGTGCAGAGCATGTGCCACAGAATAAACCCCATTGTAGATATTGTA